AGCAATTGAACAAACATAATAAAACATCTGCCTACAGCTCCCTTCCTGCGTGACACACTTCCTGGCATGAGTAGGTTAGGCTGAGAGACTGTGACTAGCCCACGGTTACCCAATGAGTTTCATGGCTTGAGTGGGGATTTGAACCCTGGTCTCCCAGGTCCCAGTGCAACACTCTAACCACCACTCCACACTGGCTCCAATATCCTTGTACATTCTGTTGTGTGCGGTGCCATGAGTAGAATTTCTCCCGATGATCTAACTGATCTCACAGGTCCGTACATGAGGGGGGCAAATGGTCTTAAATGGTCTTTCTGGTACTTGCCTATTTTATTATTATTATTTTTTAAATGTTAGCCTGAACTTTCCACCAGTAGCTAACACCCTTGGTTCGTCCTTCACAATACTCAAACTCGCTATTGTGACTTATGATCGGAAAAACTGAATTTATTAAGAGATGAGGTAGATGTAGCGAGGTATGCTGTAACTCAGCTTCCCAGTCTCTCTAGAGCAAAATAATTACTGTTCTCTAAGGGGCAGAGTTGAGTGAATGAGAGACTACATTTGACTTTGACAGCTGACTAGCATCCCTGAACTAAGCCTGGATGATCCCTATCAGTCAATTTGAAGATCAGCCTCCCATATCTAATATCTAAACATGGAGCAAAGTCTAGTGATTTGGGTCTATCTGGAGTTGGGTGGGAGAAGGGTAAGAAGAGGGCACCAGAGCTTATGGAAACTACGGATCAATTAGCAATAAACAAACAAAGTTGGAACTTTCTGATGCCAAAGATTTATATGTACATCAATGCATAAAAAGGTAAAAGTAAAGGGACCCTGACAATGAAGTCAGTCGCGAATGACTCAGGGGTTGTGGCGCTCATCTCGCTTTAAAGGCCAAGGGAGCTGGCATTTGTCCACTTCTGCAGACAGTTTTTCCAGGTCATGTGGCCAGCATGACTAAGCCGCTTCTGGTGAAAAAATGCAATTCTGGTGTGCGTAAAAATGCAAATATTAGTGGAAATAATGCCAAAAAAAAATGTGCATTAGGAGAAATGCTGGTGAATTAGGCCTTTCGGGGGTAGGGGGAAGAAACCGCAATCTGAGGCAGAAATGTGGCAAGCTGAAGTGGGACTGGAAAAATGAAAAAACGAGAGAAACCAAAGTTAAACTACAGTACTCACTCCTACAAGAGGCAGTGATAGCAACCAACTTGGATGGCTTTAAAAGAGGACTGGGCAAATTCATGGCGGAGAAGGCTATAAATAGCTACTTGCCATGATGACACTGCTCTGTCTGCAAAGTCAGAGACAGTAATGCTCCTAAATACCAGTCGCTGCAAACCACAGAGCGCTCTTGTATTTGAGTCGTGCTTGTGGGTTTCCCAGGCATCTGAAGGAATGATCGCTGGGTGCAGAGCACATTCCCACCAGCAGACAAAGCCACAGCTGTCTGAACATCATGCCCTCTATCTAACCTTTGCTCTTTTAGTGGTCTGCCGTGCCCTGTCTGTGATCCTTTGTCTCCTTCATCATACATTGTTCAAGGGGGAAATGACGCGGTGGAAACAGGTGCCAAAATATCTTTGCACCACCCCTTGATCTCGGGATTGGAAGATGTGTAAAGGTCACAGTCCAAAATGTATCTGACTGGTTTTGCATATTGTGCTAATAAAAGGAGCCTCTACAGAGCTATCCGATAGCTAGTCTTGGAGCATGCTTGCCAGTGTGCTTCTGCACAGCTCACCTGCATCCAACCTCCTGTCGTCCTCCATTATTCCTACAGGCATCTGGTTGGCCACTGTGAGAACACGATGCAAGACAAGATGGGCCATTGGCTTTATCCATCCAGGTTCTTCTGACCTTCTTGTCTTTTAAATAAAGGAGCCAACAGATAGTTGTGGTCAGCAAAATCTTGGTGCCATTCTAATTCCCATACGTTAGCTTTTTATTCTTCCTCAAGTAATCCAAAGTGTACTGACTGTGGGTGCAATAAACTAGCAAACTCATAAGCACTGATACTCTAATACTAAGCACAGTACATTAGATTGGAATGGGGCAGGAGAAACCATTTATGGACAGAAAATCAGATTAGTCTGATTAGGAATGCAACCTAAAGTTGTGATCAAAGTAGATTTCCCCCCCCCCAAAAAAGTTTTTTTTCTTTTTGAATGATGGGTTGTATATGTCACATGTAAGATAAGTCATTCTTTGCCTTTGCATCGTTTTTCAGTTATTGTATGCGCAGCAAGATAACTGAGAAAGGGGGGGGTGTAAAGAAGGGAGAGAGATGGGTAAATAAAAATAAAATAAAAGCCAAACTGTGTTTTTTAAGTAATTTCTCACAGCTGGAGGCAGCTGTGTCTGACTCCATGCTATAAATGGCTTAGGAGAAAAATATATATTTAGTATCATTATTATTCTTCAGTAATGCACGAGGCATAATTATCTTTCACAAGATTTGCTAGATGGACAGCACTCTATTAGTAGGAAGTGTTTTAATAGATGCTTCCCAAATGAAGAGGGCAATAGCGACACACATGCCCACAATGGAGGCATAGAAGGAAACATTACTGGGACACAAAGATGTGACTAAGAGAAAGAGATCTAACTAGCCCTTCAGAAGAGTAGTGGGTGACATTAATATCAACTTTGCTGCAGCTAACTCATGAGTCCTCGTTTTTGCCAGCGCATGGTGATTGTGCTTAAGACTGGTCTGGCCAGGAAAAAACAGGGAAATGCTTTCATGAAGGAAAACCTTTAGCAGGCTCACGAATCTTATGTTCTGATGGCAGTGGCTTGTAATCTTGTGTGCTGGGAGTGGTATCAGGTGGGGGAGTTTACCATGGCATCTTTCTGGACTACCTTAAGTTGAAACGGCTCTGCTCATTTCTGGAAGGCTGTTCTTCTCCTTGGCCTGTGGTCTTTGAGGTTCCACAGGGTTCAGTCTCGCTGGCCATGCTATTCAACATCTGCATGAATCCACTGATTCAGGTTGAGGATCCTCCTGCACGCTGATGACACTCAGCTCTGCACATCAAATCCTAGAAAGCCAACAGAACTCCTAGATCGGTGCTCACTGACTGAGATGTTCTGTTCCATTCAAACTGGGTGGAAACAGAACATGCTGGATGGAAGAACTGTTCTACAAGCCTTTGATTGAGGCAATTTAAGTGCTTTTCAGTCTGGATGGCTCAGAGTGCTTTTTTACCATCTTTGGTTGATGTGCCACTCGCAGCCCTTCATCATAACATCTGATCTCATCAGAGTAATAGATGGTTTACTTTCTTCCAGGTTAGACTAAGGATATAACTGTTGGCATACAACCAAGGAAGCGGGGGCAGTTGGCAGGCCCCCAGCTGGCTCCAGCCCACCGGCCAGTGTGCTGGGCAATCTCCAATCCTTGTTGCAGCATTTGCGACCCACAGCTTCAAAAGCCAGGGCACACAACTCATCAGAGATAACGCGCAAACAGAAGTGGCAGGAGAGGTTGTGTAAGCATATTTACAAGCAGTTTATTCAGCACAAAAGGAAAACATGTCTGATCCCTTTCGTGTCCAAAGCAAGCAGCTAAAAGCAAAAACTATACACAAATGGAAGTTCCCAGCAAGCTGTGCTGGAGTGTAAACAGACATGTGACACACAACAGTCTCATGCCTGTCCCTTAAGGTGGAACGGAATATTCTAACAATAACAACACAATAAGAGTCCTGTTCGCTCAGACCAAAAGTCTCTCTGGTCCAGACTGCTGTTTCCCACAGTGGACAAGGAGGCGTCACCTCAGCCACAGTGGCATAGCATGGGGAGCTGGGGGGCCGTGGCCCTGGGTGCAATTTTCTGAGGAGGCGCAACCAGGCATCCCCATGACAGGCTCCCTCATTGAGGCCAGAGCTGCAAGGAGGGAAGCTGCACCCTGGGCCTGGCCCCAGCTTGTGAAGGAACTGCAGAGGCAGCTTCCTCACACAACGGTACAATGGCACCAGCTGGCAGCAGCCCCACTCCTGGGTCAAGCCTGACCCAGAGGCAGAAGCGGCACAGAGGAAGAGACATGGTGGCAACATCACCGCCTCTCCTCTGCTGGGCAAAGCCATGCAGGACTGCCAGGGTGGCATGAGTGCACCCTTCAAATGCAGTGGCAAGGGCTGGGCTGGTGCGGCTGCAGGGTGTCCCCCCGCTCTGCATGTGCCCTGGGCAGCAGAAGCATATGTTACACCACTGCTCAGCCAGCCCTGTTTTGTGACAGAACTAGATGTTTGGTGGTTGAAACAGCATTCCCAACAACCCTAAAACCTGCATAGTTAAACTGTAAAACTTGCTCCTACAAGAGGCAGTGATGGTTACCAACTTAGATGGCTTTGGAAGAGAATTGGACAAATTCACAGAGGAGAAGGCTTTCAATGGCTACTAGCCATGATGGCTGAACTCTGTCTCCATGGCTCAAAGCAGTAATGCTTCTGAAGTTGCTGGAAACCATAGCTGAGAGGAATGTTCTTGTGCTTGGGTCCTGCTTGCAGGTTTCCCAGAGGCTTCTGGTTGGCCACTGTGAGAACAGGATGCTGGACTAGGTGGGATATTGGCCTGATCAGCAGGCTCTTCTTATGTTAACTTAGAGCTTTGGTTATACAGTGGTACCTCGGGTTACATACGCTTCAGGTTACAGACTCCACTAACCCAGAAATAGTACCTCGGGTTAAGAACTTTGCTTCAGGATGAGAACAGAAATCACGCGGCGGCGGCGCAGCAGCAGCAGGTGGCCCCATTAGCTAAAGTGGTGCTTCAGGTTAAGAACAGTTTCAGGTTAAGAACGGATCTCCAGAACGAATTAAGTACGTAACCAGAGGTACCACTGTAGTACAAAGATAAAAATGAGTGGAAATATTTGGAATATTCCCCTGAGGTGATTTTTGTATTTCATTTCCTTGCGGGAAACCATTTATTTGAAACGACCATCCCATCTTTTCTCCTCATGTGGCGACTTCGGCCATTTTCCTATGGGAGAATTGGCTAGCTTCTGAAATCAAATGGCGGCGGCAGCTTTACCATTTGAGAGAGCTCCACAAAACAGACCTGAAGCGATTCTTTTTGGGGATGGTGCGTGAAACCAGTTTGCAATTCATTGTGAATTAATTCCCTCAATCCACAGTTGAATATTGAAACAGGCATGGGTTTCATCTTGCTAAATTTGATTTCCGCTGTAATGAGAAGGTATGTGTTGTCGTTGCAGCTGGTTGTTTTGCTTTTCAGGATGAGCGCCATGCTGTAAAATCCCTCGAAGCTCCTAAGAGCTTTGGGGTAATTAAGTTAATCTGCAACAGATTTATTTTGGGAGCGTATCTGATTTGCCATTTGCTGATGACGGACATCTTCCAAGGGCATTGCTGCACGGTGCTTAGGCCGCGGGGTGAGCTGCAGAGAGATGCTATCTGAGTTGCCAGTCAACTATTCTGTTACTGTTCTAGCTTCTGTGCCATGATTTCTGGGAAGATCTCCTGAGAATGCCTGAACTTTCCAGGTAAACTCCAGGTAAAGGGTTCCCAGCAAGCATGCCAGCATGTTAAAAATTGACATCTTCTGATTGTAAGCATCAGTCTTCACTAACCTTGGCTCATGAAAGTTCACCAGGCTGGCAAAGGCTGATTTCATTAATGGTGACCTTCCCCCATTTTCTCAGATAAAAAATATACATGTGGATTTCTTTTAAAATCACTTTTGGGGTGATTTCACATTTTATTGAAATTTCCCCCAAAGTTCTTGGAAACAGGTAGTGCCCTTTGAAAGTCTACATCAGGTGCCTGTCAGCCAGTACCATCTGATTTATTCTGATTTTAAGCTGTATTTCAGTTGATTGCTTGATTTTATCTTTTAATGTATTATATACTTTGATGTTAGCCATCTTGAGCCCGGTTTGGCCAGGGAGGGTGGGATATAAATGAAATTACAGTTGTACCTCGGGTTAAGAACTTAATTCGTTCTGAAGGTCCGTTCTTAACCCGAAACTGTTCTTAACCTGAAGCACTACTTTAGCTAATGGGGCCTCCCACTGCCGCTGCACAATTTCTGTTCTCATCCTGAAGCAACGTTCTTAACCTGAGGTACTATTTCTGGGTTAGCAGAGTCTGTAACCTGAAGCGTCTGTAACCCAAGGTACCACTGTATTATTACTACTATTACGACTACTACTACTACTACTACCATCAGATCTTTCAAAGTGCTCCCTCTGTGATTTCAATGATGCCCCTGTGGACCATGCTATGTCACAATGAATGCTGGGTATCCCAGGTGCATTCTGGGTCAGCCCCCAGCAACTGCAACCTCGTCTCATCCCACTAGAAGCGGTCGAGGTAATAAGAGGGAGCTCTTCAGCCACATCATAAAATGAAGGAAGGTAAGTGTTGCCCAGCCCATCGCTCCCCACCTGGAGCCAGGATTACATAGCCATAGTGTCAGGAGTGGTGGGAGGCACCAGCCAAGGAACCCCTTAGGGGGAAGAAGGCTGACAACCAGGGAACCGGTGGTGGGATGACAATGAGTGGTCAGAGGGAGAAGAATGGTGGTCAGAGGGAGAAGCAGTAGACAGGGAGGAGGAGGTGTCAGAAATGGAAGCTTAGTGAACAGGAAGAGGCTGCAGCAGAGCACAGTTCAGACAGAAGTAGAAGCCATGGGTGCAATCAGCTCCCCTTCCCCGGTCTCCTAGAACATGCAGAGAAATGAAGCAAGCAGAGCAGAGTGTGTGTCAAGGTCCAGATCACGGGCGATCGAAGTCCCGGCTGGGGACGTCAAGACTGGGGGCAAGATGGTGGGGTGGGAGCAGGAACGGGAGTCCAGAAGCCAGGAGTCGGGAAGCCAAGAGTCTGAGGATCAGAGGGCTGGGAGTCAAGAAACTAAGGGTCCGAGGGTCAGGAAGCAAGGTGTCATGAAGTCAAGGGTCCGAGGATCAAGAAGAAGGGAGTCAAGGAGCCAAACGCAGCAAGGCAGGGCACGTGTTGCTGTGGCAAAGAGCTGAAGGGAAATGCTGACTTTATATCCCTTCCCAGCTCTTGCCAACAAGTGCTGTGAGTTACCAATTGGCTTCACCTCTGAGGCTGCGCCTTGCCTCTTGAGAACAAACTTAGGAAGGCCCCAGTCCTGGTCACAGGGCCTGGCTCCTGCACACACACCTGACAGTGTGCAGACACAACCTGAGACTGTGTGGGAAAGACCCTGGAGAGGAGGAGTCCTAGTGGGCCCTGGGAAGGAGGGGACTTTCAGTCCTCGCAACTGCTTCTTTGGGGCAGGACCTCTAGAAAGAGTTGCTAGGCCAGAGTTGTGGTTTGTTTCCTTGAATAAAGAATTAACTTCACTGGCCTCAGTTGAGGTATTGTTTTGTTGCTGACCTGTGCCTGACTCCAGCTCGGACATATAGTCCAAAACATATGGCGTATACAGGCTAGGATTATTATTATTTTTTTAAAAAAACCACACACAGATACAAAGTGGAAACAAAATAAAAAAAAATTCCTTCCAGTAGGACCTTAGAGACCAACTAAGTTTGTTATTGGTATGAGCTTTCGTGTGCATGCACACTTCTTCAGATACACACATAGTGAATATTGGATGCCCATGTATACCCCACATATATATATATGACTTCATACTTTTACAGTGAACATCCTTTGTCATTTTGTTGCTTATTCACTCAGTTTGGGACGCTGGGGAGATGTTTCTCCTGCTCAGGCCAATGTAGAGCCAGGTCCTTTGAAAGAGTAGTCCACTCTTTCAAACACACCCTTTGAGTCAAAAGCAGCCATTGTCTTTGCCCCGTCTGCAGGTAATCAATGAACTGAATTGAGTATTGAAAATGAGAATTTGACTTGAATGCAGTAATGACTCGGGAGATCTGGATATAAACAAGGCTCCCTCTTTCCCCTCGGCTGTCAAATTGCAGTATGGATCAGCCTTAACCCAGGTGGCAGACTGCCCTTTCATTCTGATGATTGGGCAATAGGAACTAATTAAAAAATAAACCCTCTAAAGTCGCTTCCAGGAGGTAGCTGCCATTCCACATTCTTTTCAACATGACTGGGCCATGCAACAAATAGTTTCTGTGCACCTTCCTTCCCGCTCAGACAGAATATTCAGTTTTGGGTTCCAATGGGACCATATTCCCACCATTCATGCAAAGCTTTGTGATACCACTTTACGTAGCTGTGGTTTCCCCAAAAGAATTCTGTGAGCTGCAGTTGGTTTAGGATGCTGAGAGTTGTTAAGAGACCCCCTCTTCCTCTCACAGAGCTCCCTGTGAAAATGGATTGATGCTTAAACCACTCTGATGCCTCCTCCTTGTTTCTCAGTGGCTCAATTTCAGCCACAGTTGTGATGGCCCCTCCCCAGCTGAGTTTGTTATTAGAAGGGGAGACTTGAGTGAGGTGGGGGGCAAAGGGGACCCAGAGCTTATGAAGCTCTGGCTATTTTGCAGTCTTATTTCAAAACTGCCTAGCTCTCAGCAGGCAAAGACAATGCCTTTCAGCATAATTATTATCTTCTGTTGCTTGAGCATGCTGTGAAAAAAAAAAAAAGATTATGGCGAGGAAGAGATAAAGTATCCTTGACACAAATTAGTATTTAACATACATTTTAAATCCAGCTTCTGCTGCCATCTGTATTTCTTTGAGCCTTCCGTCAGTTCCTATTGGAAGCAGTGTCATTTTTTTTATCTCCCCAGCAGAGAGTAAAAATATTTTGCTTTGTGTGTGTTTAAATTAAACCTTCTGTTTTGCTGTAAAACAAACAAACAAACAAACACATTTTAGTCATCATCTGATAATCTGGAAATATGTTAAAGGACAGTTCATTGCCCTCAACCTTTGGGAGAATTGGACTTTTAACAAGTGAAGAAGGCGAGTGAATGTGTTTCTCTGGATGTGTGTGGTTGAAAATAAATCTGTTGCTCTGTAGTTCACTTATCTTGCCTAGCTAGAATACTGGGCATGCTACACCTTGCAGACAAATGATGACAACTTTTTAATCGAGCGGAGGAAATACATTAAAATGTGCTAAAATGTTTAACACAGTCCGTCAATGTCTCTGCGTCATGTTTCTGTCTCCAGTCACTTCCTCAAAGAAATGACTTATTGGATTTTCCTTTTACAGGACCGAGGGGAAATGTAGATGGGTTGTTTCTCTTCGAAGAAGAAATCTGATCTCTCCCTACTTTATTATCTGAGACTGCAAAACTAAGCCAAATGTAGCCCTCCAGTTTTTATACTCAGGTCTCACCAAGGATGGGTAATCTGTGGCCCTTCAGATCCTGTGGGACTACAGCTCCCATTATTCTTCACTGTTGGCTGGCAGCAGTTGATGGGTTTTAGAGTCCCACAACATTAGGGCCATTAGTTCCCTGTTTAGGGAAGCTTTTAATGTTTGATGGACTGCTGTATTTTAATATTTTGTTGGAAGCTGCCCAGAGTGACTGGGGAAACCCAGCCAGATGGGCGGGGTATAAATAATAAATAATAATAAATTATTATTATTAAAGGTAAAGGGACCCCTGGTTGCGGACGACTCTGGGGTTGCAACGCTCATCTCACTTTATTGGCTGAGGGAGCCAGCGTACAGCTTCTGGGTCATGTGGCCAGCATGACTAAGCCGCTTCTGGTGAACCAGAGCAGCGCACGGAAACACCGTTTACCTTCCCGCCAGAGAGGTACCTATTTATCTACTTGCACTTGGATGTGCTTTCGAACTGCTAGATTGGCAGGAGCAGGGACCCAGCAACGGGAGCTCACCTCGTCGCAGAGATTTGAACCGCCGACCTTCTGATTGGCAAGCCCTAGGCTCTGTGGTCTAGACCACAGTGCCACCCGTGTCCCTATTATTATTATTATTATTATTATTATTATTATTACCCATTCATTCTCAACTCCCTCCCCAACCTGGGACCAAGCGCATTGGATTGGCCAGCATCCATGGATGATGTTGTTTATAGATTGGCGTGTCACAAGTTGGGCAGGCACTAGTCCTGCCCTTGAGTGGCCTGGGAGGTTTCTAAAGAAGCAAGACCTTGGACTAGAGTTGTGTACTCCAGCATCTCTGAGAGGCCTCTAAGGAAGGCCTTCTCCCCTTCTCAATTACAATTACAGGAGAACTGTGTGCTTTAAGTAGGTGGAGGCAAATAAAATGGCAATGTTACGTTGGGGAATTGTGGGTAGTTAAATGGTTGCTGTAGGATGCGGGTGGCACTGTGGGTTAAACCACAGAACCTAGGGCTTGTCGATCGG